AGCTAAACTCTGCAGGACACCGGCCCTCCAGGACTGAGTTTGGGCAGCCCTGATATAAGGTTATTTTGTCATTCATAAATGGAGTCCCTTCGCTACGTAATTAATTTTCAGTGTGAACGCACTACTCGCACTATTATATACTAAAAACGTCATAGAATAGTGCATAAGTGCGATTTGGGACGCACCTATACTTGTTAGTACTGCAAGAGGAACTACACATGTGCGGCCGACAGTTGCATTCCGGAAGACGCATAGCTGCGGACTTGCACGTTCTTCGGAAGTGCAACACTTGTACGTTTTGGAGGCTCAGCACTGGAAAGGTGGGATGTTTTTTTCCTATATTCTTTATTTCAAATGTTAAAGCATTGTATTATAAGCAGATCCGTATTGTTCACCTCATATATTAAATCTAGATGCAGTGGCTCTAAAAAAGTCGATAAGCAGCTGTGTGTGTTTACCCGTGCCATCATCATAAGCGGATTGACGTGGGTCAGTTCACATCAGTCTGTCTCATCATCAAAACTATCAAGACATGTTTTCGCTGAAAACTTTGAGAGCTCATAACAGGCCTCAAATGAAGCGGCAATTCATACTGCACGCCCACAATTCATTTATTTCCAGTGTGGTCTATCGGTTTCTTATTATTTTTAGCCTGGCTATCACACTTAGCCTATCTAACGTTACATTGTTTGCCATTTATAATCACCTTGTAACTAAATTTTCACTAAAATGTAATGGCAACGAATGTAGATAGGCTATATATACACAATATCGATCGTGCAATATATCGTTGTCCTTCGATATTTAAATTAAAACGAGGCGCTCTAAATAGACTTCCCTGCTCCCATCTCGCTAAGTTATTTAATGGCTCCTCGAGGTGACGCTCAACACATGAATGAGGGAAACGTGAACATAAGTTGACTAGCCTAAGAAAAAGAGGGTTTTAATGGGATGGCGGACAGCAGTGTGAGTAAAATAATAGATGCCCCAGCCACGTTTAAGTCCAAAGTCTGAACCCACCTCGACTTTTATACCATTGATGGGACAAACAAAATTGACAAAGAGTATGCGATGTACAAGAACTACATTATTTGCATTATATTGTGATTATTGTAGGATTGTCTAGCAGTATATCAGTTATAGCAGAATTGCTGTATCATGATATTGTTGGTATCGTGAGCCATGTATCGTATTTTGAGGTGCCCTGTGATTCCCACCCATATATATATATATATACACATATATACTCTCACACACATGTATGTATGTATGTATGTATGTTTTTATATATATAGTTTCTTTCGTGTCTGCAGAGCTCATGATTCACAAATATCTCTGTCTTATCTTGGTTTCTGTAGATGAGCGGCGATTCAGATAGTAATAAAGTGTTCCATGAGCAGCTCCGTTTGCAGCAGCTGTATGAACAGAGGCGAGAGGGTGGAGAGGATCCAAACACATACGTCGACCCAGAAGACGGCACTGTGTACGACTGGGACCATGAAAAGAGAGCATGGTTTCCAAAGGTCTCCGGTTACCAAACAGAATACTACTTTTACTCAATTAGTCTGTTTTCATAACCCAGTAAGAGCTCATTCGCAGTAAGTTCTGTATTAAAGTTCACTTATTTGTTTCTTTATAGGTAAATGATGATTTCATCGCAGCATATCAAGCAAACTATGGATTCAATGAGGATGGGGCCCCTGATCCAACTGCTGCGGTCCCTTTCTCCGAATCCCTCCCTGCCAAACCGGAGGAGCCCAAGAAACCTGAAGAACCCAAGAAGCTGGAGGAGAGCTCAATCCAGGGAACAGCTAAGGAGGGAGCTCAGAAAGGAGAGAAAAGGAAAGCAGATCCAGGTTAGAAGTTATTCATTACCGATTTGTATTTTATGTATTTTATTTTTTTTTTTACCTAGTATTCTAATTATATTAACAAACACATGTGATGTGTTTTACAGGATGGTTTGAAGTTGAAAAGGACAAAAACACCAATGTTTATGTGACGGGTAAATAATTTCCAAATTTTTAGATTGCCGTTTGTTTTTATTTATGTGCTATTTGTTTTTAATTTTGATACGAATTTGATTTCATGTTGTAAATACTGGTATGATATGACCCGGTTTGTTTTTTAAATCAATTGGCTGTCAATCCAAAATTTGGTTCACGAAATGTGTTTTAGTGAATGTGTCTTTCTGTTAGGTCTTCCTCCAGATATTACTCCTGATGAGTTTGTGGAGATCATGTCCAAATGTGGAATTATCATGCTTGACCCTATCACAGAAGAGTATAAAATTAAGCTTTACAAGGACAAGGACGGGAACCAAAAAGGAGACGGACTTTGCTGCTACCTGAAGGTTGGTCATTGTAATACTATGATCCGGTATATTTATCTCTTGTGCTGTGCTGAAAATTTTGAATGAAATTGATAGATCGTATGCTTCATTGATCTGTGCTTATGCAACTTAGTTTGAGTAAAAGAGCATTATATGTGGATATTTTTGCCAGGGTTTACTCAAAAACTAAAGTGCATAAGCTCAGAAGTCTACCATCGGTCAGCTCCAAAAAGAAATGTAAAACCCATGACAACTGAAAGAAAACAAGTTGACAGCATAACAAGAAATTTACAAGGCTGGTTATTTTTGACCGGGAACACCAATAGTGTAACACAGTGAAAAAAAGTGCACCAAAAATTATCAGAATTTTTTTTTTTTTTTTTTTTTTTTTTTGAGAAGTTGTTATACCCTGTGTGAGCGAAGTCAGTTAGTTTTAGTTCAATTTGATAACATTAACTAGCATTTTCAGGAAAAAGATAACCCTCGCTGGGTCTCTAAATGACCAAAACACAACATGAAAGTTACGTTCTAAATATTGAAAATAAAAACACATGTTTTACATTCAATGTTATTTTACTATTATTTATATACTATTATAATATTTATTAATTATTTTGAATTTGATTTTTATATTTTCATTTTAAATTTAGTTCAAGTTTAAGTCATTTTATGTACTTGTTTATCTGTTTTTTTTATATTTCTATTTAGCTTTTTTTTTTTTTTTTTTTTTAAGTTATAGTAATTTAGTACTTAAAATTAAAACCATTTTAGCTAGTTGCAACTTTTTTTATTTTTTTACATTTCAGATGTATTTTAAATGAACATTTTTAAGCTCTTAAACATTGTTTACATGCTTGTTTATATCATTTGTATTCAAATGTTTTCATTATTTTATAATTCCTTGCAGAAAGAGTCTGTAGCTCTTGCCGAGCGGCTTTTGGATGAGACAGAGATTCGGGGCTACCAGCTGCATGTGGAAGTAAAGGATAATGTGGCACTAAAGACCTGTGTAATGATGCTTAAAATTGTAATTGTAATAATATTTCACAATATTACTGTTTTTATTGTATTTACGGTATCTTTGGTGAGCATAAGAGACTAATAACTTTTAAAAACCTTACCAGCCCCAAATTTTAAACAGTAATGTACACTGCCAATTAAATGTTTGGACACACCTACTCACCCTTTATGATTATTTGTGATGTTAAAGTATTAGCAAATGGAAGTATCAAAATTAACCACCAATATTAAACTAACCAATTCCATATTATATTACAGCTTCTTCAAAGTTGCTAGATTTCAGCTCTGCACATTCTGGACATTCAAAAATCTCTCCAACCTCATACATTTTAAGGTTTTTTTTTTTATATATATTTTTTTTTTAGTACCAGTTAGGCACAATTTACATTTGTCAACAAAGTTCATTTAAATGTTTAACCTTGAGCCTTTAGATCAAAGTTTTTTTTTTTTAAATGAGGAATATAAATTAAAGGGGTCATATGATGCTGCTAAAAAGAACATTTTGTGTATTTGGTGTAATGAAATGTTTATGCGGTTTAAGGTTCAAAAAACACATTATTTTCCACATACTGTACATTGTTTCTCCTCTATGCCCCGCCTTTCTGAAACGCGACGATTTTTACAAAGCTCATCGTTCTAAAAAAAGCGTGGTGTGCTGTGATTGGCCAGCTATTTAGTGCGTTGTGATTGGCCGAATACCTCAAACGTGTGACGGAAATGTTACGCGCCTTACCATATTGTGATGATGCCCTGTCAGGCCGGAGCGATGATTCAAACACATTAAAACCCATTATAAACGAGGCATTCGTTGCATCCAGTCGGGACATAATTATGGATTATAATGACTTGTACTGTCTTTTTACGCATTGTGTTGCATCGCGCCGCGTAAACATAAAACCATGCCTGCATTTGTGATCGGAGAAATGACAAACAACAAGCCCTACTCTACACTGCCCGAGCGAAAAAGTAGAGAGGGACTTTAGTTTATTCATCAGGAATTTGCTAAATCATGTAATGCGTGTTACATACATACAAAACCGAATGCGCGTTTGCATGGCCTTAATGATGTCATCAGAAAAGGAAAGTTATTACATTGTGTAAACAGAGACATTTTTCCCTTTGGAATCACATGCACAATTAGACCAGAGATGTATATTACGTAAGTTAATAGGGTCAATTTCAGGGTCATTAACAAAAACTAAAACCATTGAAGAAAAAGCGTTTTTGAATGTAAAAAAGTGCCAGCCAGTTGCCAAGGCAACATTTCTCATTTTGATTGTTTAACTTTGCTAAAATTGCTAAAACTAAAGCTGAAATATAAATTTCAATCTATAGAGACATACAGTAGGTATAGAAAAGAATAATGCCCCTTTAAGATCACATTTTGTGGCTTTGCACCCTGAAATGAAGACAGTTTTTGTTTTATCCAGCTGTATTTACTCAGTGCAATTTATAACATCCAAGTGAAAGATATAACACCATGTCAGAAAAAAATAAATAAACAGAATCACTGGAAAAAGGATCACCCCCATTCTAAAAATGCAACCCTCTACAATGCGCACGACTCGACGTCGCTTTGCTGATACCGCTTTTTCTCACATGCAAAGAGAGAGAGCGAGAGTCTTACGTACCACGCTGAATCGACGACATGTAAACAATATTCTTTGTTGTGTTTTCCTGTCAAAAGTTAATTTAGAATTATTCAGCTTTTAAGAACAAGCAGAAGGTGTGTGTGTGTGTGTGTGTGTGTGTGTGTGTGTGTGAGAGAGAAATAGTAGTCTGGCGAGTAAACTAAAACATTTACTAGCCAATGGCAATTATATTGCCACTGTGTGCACAGAGGGTTGAAATGACTTGTAAACTCAATTCAGGACGTCGCTCCAAACTGGATGAATGAGCCAGGAGGAAACTTGTCAGAGATATGACCAAGAGGCCTACAGCAACTCTGAAGCAGTTGCAGGAATATATGACAAAGAGTTGTGCGAGAGAGAGAGAAATAGTAGTCTGGCGAGTAAACTAAAACATTTACTAGCCAATGGCAATTATATTGCCACTGTGTGCATAGAGGGTTGAAATGACTTGTAAACTCAATTCAGGACGTCGCTCCAAACTGGATGAATGAGCCAGGAGGAAACTTGTCAGAGATATGACCAAGAGGCCTACAGCAACTCTGAAGCAGTTGCAGGAATATATGACAAAGAGTGGTCATTGTGTGCATGTGACAACAATATTAAAAATACTCCACAAATGTGGCTTTTA